CKGGGAAAAGYCWTGACTAAAAARCTTTTCTACARTGAATCCTATTTACTGAGAATTTARTGACACARAKCACAGCKTTTTTGGAAGCCTTTCTTCAGTAGATTGGTCAGWGTGTAGTGTGTTCATGCCCCTAGTCAAAGTAAACAATACAGTGTCTGACGACATCTAATTTCTGTGATCCTGACCCTCAGAAATGCTGACCCTCTTTGATCGTGACCTCCTGCGATCCCAGGGATTCCCCTAGAGCAGGGACTATTCAATTGGCAGCCTGCATGCCACATCCGGCTCGCGAATGACCAAAGTTCGGCCCGCCAATTGGTTCTTTCATCTCTTAAGCCCAAACTCCCGGTTTTTTACTTTAATCACTCTAAGTTCTTTTAGTTAAATATACACGTTTGGTATCTACAGAAACGTCAGAATCTTTACCATCTTCTAGCTGGTAAAAAAAACATTTCTATAAAAACTCAAGGCAGTTAAAACTACAAGTAGTTGAAAATAAAATGATGAAAGTGAAAATAAAATTGCTTTAAAAATTTGGCAGAGATGTCAAAATATTACTTATGTCAAATAGCAGGCATAATGTTTTCTTTTTGTTTTTGATAATGTTTAATTATCACTACTTTTATAGACTTCTGTATGTTGCATTCATTATTAAATGCAGCAAAATAAACTAATTCAAAGGTAACTGACCTTTGTAATACTTGGTTTATTTACATGATCACTTTAATTGCTGGATGTTAGGCCCCTCAGCTGTTGACGAGCAGTAACTGTGGCCCCCGGAGCAGTTTAGTTGAATAGCCCTGCCCTAGAGTATTGGTCTTGGGAGGGCAGGGGGTGAGGGCTTTTGAACACAGAAAGGTCAACAGCTATTTACTATTACTAATATTAATTAGAGATTGCAGCTTTTTAAAAAAATAAAAAAAGTGAAAATTCTGCAATTTCATTTGTATTAGTTGAATCTTTTATATCTCTCACTTAAACAAAAAAATAACTATCATGTCTAGTGTCCTGATGCATCTCAGTAATCCAGGTAGAAAAAAATCAAAAAGAAAAAAATAAGTAGGTCCTCTGGATGGGTTCTTCTGATGAGTTTCAGGTGAACTCAGCCTTACAAGCAAAAGAGGAAAGGAAAAGAGAGCTCTGATGTCCTTTACAGGGACACCACCGAGCCATTGATTCAGGTATGCTGATGACACCTGGGTTAAAATTAAATCCAAAGAAGTCCAACATTTCACTGATCACATCAACTCTGTGGATAAATATATAAAGTTCACACGAGAGGATGTAAAAGATGGCAGGTTGGCGTTCCTGGACATTGATGTCTCAGTTTCTGAAGGAGGACGGTTAGAAACTGACGTGTATCGCAAACCCATCCACACAGACCAGTATTTGCGTTTTGATTCCCATCACCCACTGGAACACAAGTTAGGAGTCATCAGAACTCTGTACCGCAGAGCAGACAGTGTCCCCACAAACACAGGAGCCAGGGAGAAAGAGAAGTCACAAACAAGACAGGCTCTGGAGCAGTGCGGTTATCCTAACTGGGCTTTTCTGAAAGCAGACAAGAAACCCAAACAGGATTCCAGCCAACAACCAGGTGAAAATGAAGACCCTAAACCCAGACCCAAACCAGTCGTCATTCCATATGTGGTGGGAGTTTCAGAGAAACTGAGACGTTTAATTCTCTAAATATGATGTCCCAGTGGCTTTCAAACCCCAAAACACATTACAAAACAGATTAGTTCACCCCAAAGATCCAGTTCCCCAACAAAAACAGAGCAATATAGTATGTGCTGTTAATTGTCAGGAGGACTGTGATCAGTTATACATTGGGGAAACAAAACAGCCACTGTTCAAAAGAATGAGCAAGCACAGACGAGCTACATCGTCAGGTCAGGACTCTGTAGTTTACACTCATCTACAGACCTGGGGCCTCAAGCATAAAGGATTGCGCATCTTTCACACTGAAAGTTGACGTACGGAAAAATTTAGAAAAGTGCGCCGCACCAAAATATTCAGATGTATAAAACCATGCGCACACAGGTTCCTGTGCACCTTTCCTTTATAAATCCCAATGAACGTGGAACTTAGTGCATGTGAGACACCTCCCCTGACACGCCTCCATTTAAATATGTAAAATAGATGTAAATGTGTCCAGCGTGTGAGATTCTCCTCAGATTGTCCTCTCTTTGAGATCAGAAATGGTTTTTAGATGCAGGAAAAATATACATTAAATGGATAATGACCGATAAAATTGTCAGTGGGGTGTAAAAATGAGTTTGCCACTCGCAAAAGGTGTGTGTGGGTGTTGGTGTATACGCGCATGTGTGAAACTGCTGTCTTCAGCGGTGCATGAGGCTGAGAGACATTTCCACCTTTACACGTCTTTAATAAATGACTGTAAACACAGAGGAACTGATGAGTTCGGTAGAACTTAAAAAAATATTTATTAAATAGTTGATGTGAAAAAATGAGTAACTTGCTGCGCTGCGAGTTTCTGCCGCGGTGTGGGACTGGGAACAGCTGATTGATCCATACGCACAACTTTACGCAGCAAATATTGCGTCTTGTGAGCTGAGGAATCATCACAGCTGAGCTGCTCTGAATTAATATGCTGAATTGACAAAGTTTTTTTCTCAGTGAAAATTAAAAATGCTTAGAAAATTCACAAACACTTTATTTTCCTCAGCTGTGTGTGCGCTCCGCAGGCCATACTTACGGTGTGTTTCCAACTACGTGACAAAAATATAAAAACTTTACAGTTCACAGACTGAACTGAGTTTTTTTTTTTTTTTTTTATCATTTTTAGGCTGATCTATTTTCTTGTCTGAGGTTAAATGATTTTCAGTCCCCGGGGTTCAGTTTCATGAACGTTCAGTTTAAACAATAAAAACTCTAAAATAAAAATCTAACACCGTGTTCAGATGCTTCTTACATCCAGAAAACACAAGAGTCATATTTCTGTGGATTCAGGTCAGATTCATGACTTTGTGGGTTAAAACTGTCGACTGAAAAACTTTACGTGGCTTCCACACATTCTCACGGCAGGTGAAAAGTGTGCGTAAATATATGCACGCAACGTTGGTTTTTATTCATCACATCGTGGGCGTAGAACCTGGCGCACGCAACTTTTTTGTGCGTACCCACCGTTTATAAATGAGGCACCAGGACTCTGCAGTTTACGCTCATCTACAGGCCAGAGGTCACTCTTTCAAGGATGAAGACATTCTCATCCTTGATAAAGAGGAACGTTGGTTTGAGAGGAGTAAAGGAAGCCATCTTTGTGAAGAAAAACCATCCACTATTAAACAGAGATAGAGGCCTTCGTGTCCAGTTGTCCTCCACCTATAATGCTGTTATTGCAAGTATGACTCCGCTCCCTGTGAGCAAAAGGTGCGAATCTGGGCCCCAACGATAACCAACACAAAGAGGGGAAAAAACAAAAACAAGGGGACTTTGAGCCCCGCCTGCACTCACTGCATATACATAACACAACACCTAATAACCACAGCATCCAAACCAATAAGTCAGGTGATGGACCACATGATCCTCTATGAACAATAGAGCTAATCAAGCCTATTGTTAAGCAATGGCCCTCTTTTGCATTTGACTAACCTGTTTGTCCACCATGTGGAGGCAGTGCTTATAAGGCTGAGTTCACCTGAAACTCAGACTGAAGTTGCGTGCGCCAGGTTCTACGCCCACGATGTGATGAATAAAAACTAACGTTGCGAGTATATATTTATGCACACTTTTCACCTGCCGTGAGAATGTGTGGAAGCCACGTAAAGTTTTTCAGTCGACAGTTTTAACCCACAAAGTCATGAATCTGACCTGTTTCGTCTCTCTCTTGGAGAAGAGACGAAACATTTCACTAAAGAACCCATCCAGAGGACCTACCTGTTTTTTTTTCGTTTTGATGTCATGTCTAGTCATAAATAATTTCAGATACCTGGAATGCAAGTGTGTTGAAGCCAATTAAATGTAAAAAACGGCTTTCCATACACATGAGCTTCTGAATGTTGCTGAAATGACCTACTGAACTCCCAGAGCAGAAACTGACTGTTAACTTAGCCAGATGGGTTTAGGAGCAAGCAAAGGTCCACACCTTCTTTTCATCTCAACTTCCACACTCTTAAAGGAGCAATATCATGTAAAATCAACTTTTTTGAATTTTATATATTTTTATAATGTTATACTCTCATAAAAAAACATGCCCAAAGCCTTGCTTTGACTCATTCATGCATGTTTGAGAAATCCTGCAGCATTTTTAGGCAGCCATGCTGAGGAGCAAAACGACAGGTGGGGACCAGAAACACTTCTGGGATGTGTCTCTAAGCCGAGCTTCCTCATCACGGAGCACACCTCCCCACTCCCCACCCCACACACCCCCGCCATGAATCCTGCAGGCTCTTGGCTGTAACAAAGCAAACGAGTGAAAGTGAAACTGTCTGCTGAGCTCCTAACACTGGGCTACTTCTCACTCAGTGAAGCTCTTTTCAGATTCCAAATACCTTTGAGGAAATGTATTTTCAGATGCCAAGTAAATGGCATCACAGCACGTGTGCGAATTTACTTGAGTGCATAATCAACTGTTTTCATGATGAGTCCAGTCATATTTAAAATTTTAACGTGTAACTAGGTGTTAAATTTTAAAGTAAAGAAGTACAAGTATCGTTATGTTTTGAATGTAACAAAATAAAAGTAAACATTACAATTAAAGAAATACTCTGAAAATTTCAAATTCTTAAAAACTACTGTGATGAAGTAAATGTACTTAGTTACTATACACTTCTGGTTATATACGAGAAAATATTTAAACTAATTGTAGTAAAAACAGTCAAAATTTACTCCCTCAAAAATTATGGTCCTTTATGGATGTACGAGCGGGGGGGATTGTTAAAGCTCCTGCATACTTCCTCCGAACTGCCAAAATGGGTT